TCTGGTCGCAGGGGGGTTTTGGGCTGCAAACATTCGTGTTTGCGTTGCATCTCCAACAGAGAAGCCTCGAGGCGGTCCCGCTCTTCACGCAGAAGTTGAACCTCTGAACGGTGTTGACGGGCTTCCTCTATGAGACGTCGGTGGTTCTCCCGCACCTCGCGCAACTGTTCCTCGCAGTTACTAACCTGTGCACGCAATGCCTCGCACTCCGCACGCGCAGTCAAAATGGCCTGCTCCTTGGCGGCATCGTTTTCGGAATTCTTTTGTTGAACTGTAAGAAGAGAAAACACGTAGGGCGCATAAAAGGATGCCTTGCAAGCTCGTTGTATGCCACGGCTCGAACTTTGGCATTTATGAAAAAGATAAGGGCAACACTAGTACACGCTGCTGCTCTGTCCCCGTCAGTTAACCTCGTCTTCATCGTTAATACTACCCAACAGGGGATTTACTTGTCAGGACGGGACCGCCAACGAGGACCCTAGACAGACGATTCGGGGCAGGACGGATAACGTCTACAAAGTCCTGCGATCAAGATAGATCGGTGGACATCACTCTGACGATACATGGAATATTTCAAATTGCTGTCAGCAGAGCGCGGATTCGATTGGGGAGTTTTCGCCCAATGCATAACCCGAGAAGAGTACAAACTCCTGGTCACCCCGACCTGCTAATAGAAGTATGGTTGACTGACAACGGTAAATATGTGAGAAATTCTCACTCTAATTACCCCTTCTTCATTGGTACTAATTGACATTTGTTTACAATTGGCCGTCATGTTGCCGGGTAGGTGTAGATCAAGGCTAAAAAAAACTAAGTTTCCTCTCTACTCCGTCGATCAGTCATAACGGTCCAGTAAACACAACTTTCACGTTAATTTGAATGATTATAAAAAAAAACTTTCCGAAATGAAGATTAATTTGGGATATGTATACCCCTATTAACGAAATCAAACGTCTAGGTAGGCTGTGGTTAGGAGTAATGGCGGCCTAAACTACATATATAAAAACAAGCAAAATTTAACAAATACAAATGAATGAAAGGGTACGCTACCTGATGCTTCCAGGTTTTCAATTATCGCCTCATAATGACTGAGCTTCTCGGTGAGAATACGTATGGACTCTGTAAAAAAAATGATGGGATTTAGGCACAGATGAGGAGGAAAAAACCCAAAAAATAAGAGACAAAGCACATGTGGCTTTTTAAAAAATAGGGAGATTGAAAAGCTTAATTCATAACTCGGATGGATGTGAGTGGATTACCTCTGAGAGTCACGACTTCCTCCGTATTGGAGCTGGCGATTTCTGACGAGGGCGACATATTTGGACCATTGCTAGACACCGTAGGAGAGGAATGTGTGCCTGAGCTATCGGCTCCCACCACTTCGACGAAATCCCTTTGAATTCGGAATTCACTGCTGGTTTCAACCGATTTGTCGGCGTGATCAGGAATAGAAAGGGAATTCGGTCGAGCGGGTTTGTTGTCGGATAACAAATGAACGTCTGAATTCGGGTCCGGTTCGGTGCTAAACTTGGCTGAGGAGAAGTTTTGATCGGCATCTTTGATGGAAGCAGCCAGGGATGAAAAAAATTCAAAAGAATGAGTCACAAGGGAAAACTATGGTGCATATCTCAAAACTATTGTTTGCGTGGAAAACAGCTACCATAGGCAGAGTTGCATTTTTAACAAATTAAAACAGGCTACCATCCACTTGCCACTGGACTTGTTCGTTAAGCAACCAGCCAAAACTATGCAGATAAAGGTTATAAAACATGTACTTAGGAGGATGTTACTCTCAAAATGGAGCCATTCTAGAAGGTACGTTTTGGGCTAATGGGTTAAACTCGGCTACTGGAGTTCGCGCAGTAGTGGGACTTCAGAAAATTTAAATGAAGACAAAATATAACATAATTTGAAAGCCCTTACAAGGGGGTATATTCAATCATGTTTTCCAGAGGTTTATCAACTATGATCTAACGTATCCAAATAAGTCGCTCGTTTGAAATGCAACGCATAGTTTATGCTGGATTTTAACAATAACAAACTGTTGAAGTAACTAAGAATGAATATATACGTGGAGTCCGACCGGCGACTGCAAGTTGGACGGGCTCTGTGCTTTGCGATCGACAAAATCCATTTTCTAGTCCACTCTTTATAGCACAAAGTAGCATCTTCTGTGCAGATAACCCCGACAGAAAAGTAAGCCGTTCAACACACTAAAACTAATTGCTATTTATTGAAGCGATATTAGAATGAGTATGGAGAAGAAGGCTTACTGATCTGAAAAATTCCATTTGTCAGACTACGTTGAAATATCGGGTCACCGTAAAGCACAACTACACATTGCGCAAAAAGACAAATATTGATGAACTTTTTCAGGTCTATTTTTTGATATGCAGCGGTAACCTTGCCATCCAAAACCGTGGCTAGCGGTACCACGCAAATCCGGCAACAAAAACGGGTTTTAGACGCTAAGAAATCAAATAGCAAAAACCAGTCTACTCCCATTGTGGATCAACAAACGAAAGCTTCGTTTTCTTGTGGTTAAAGTGTGCGAGAAAAGTTTTCGATAATGACTTAATTCGTTAACAGGCCAGTTCAACACCAGCCCCTATCAAGAGTCCGATGACGACTCACTATACCATGAGGAATAGTTTATTAGTTAGATAATTATCTACATAAAATATATTAATTATACAGATCGAAGTCAGTGTGGACCTGAAGTCCACTGTCGCGACCGTATGAGGTACAGCTGGCCCATGGCGGTAAAAAATATAAAGGGCTTCCATATCTTCTAGTTCTTGATTGGGTTGCAATTTTTGCTGATCGACAGTATTAGGCGGAGCATGCACAGTTAGTTGTACATTCACAAAGGAGTGATTTGTTTAAAGGAGGAAAAACTCATGAAATAAGGCGACCAAAACAAACAACAAGGCATTGGAAAGCGGAGACTGGTTTGTCCAAATACATAATTTCTCACGAGTTACAGTTTGGTAGAAGAGCTTTGAATGATTGAAGCAAACGTAATATTATTAGTGATAACTATGAACGAGCTTATGAACAGGAGCAAGCAAAGGAAACCTCACATCGGGTCCAATAGTACCCAAATTTAGAAGATGCGATCGCTTGAACATGATGTTTATTGGTCTGACGTTTCGAATTCTCGTTGGAATTCACCATCAGGAATATTCGCAGCATACGCACTTGTTCTACGAGTAAACGACATCGATTTAAGATGGTGGTACCTACAGTGCGCATTTTTATCAAACTGTTCGCCGAAAGACGAAATCTGGATAGGTGACTCTACGGTTTTAATGGCGCAGTGTACAACAAAGTAGTAAAGTAACTTGTATTGAAGGGTACAGTTTGAGGCTGTGAATTAGTTTGGAAAACAACCGGAAACAGAAACCATTGTTTCGGGTCACTTTAACACTGCAGGTGCATTGCAATATGAACAAATAGTAAGTGTAGTCTGGCAATTCTACATCGAAATATTAATGAGGAACAATACCTTCTGACACAGAGACAACGCCTACTACCACCCATAAACGGGATGGAGAATTCCGTGTTGAAGGCCTCAAGTTTAGAGTATGAATGGCTAAAGACGGTAAGAGACCGGAAACGGTCAACAGCTCTCACAGAAAGGGTGAAAATGGATGTGAAAGATGCACATATATTATCTTCACGGCCAAAGGACTGATAAGTTTCATT